ACAATCAAAAATATCAAATATGATGAATACTTTGACTGCATTCTTACAATGATGAGAGGAACAGGTGCGTTTAATTCAAATGTGTTTCCATTTTGAAATAGCAGAATTCAAAAGTCGTCAAATAGAAGGACACTGAAGGTAGTGCACGATATTAGTAATATGCTTTCTGGAGTGTTTCTTATATATATAAATGGTCCCTGGTTTTCTTTTTTACACATAACATGGCTTTGCATCAGGTGCGGGATAAAAAGCATTGAAACACTGATAGCATTTTACCTCTAAATGTTCATTAGCATAAGAGTCTATATTTCCATCCCAAGTTTAAAAACAAGCATTTCACATTTATTCTGTGTATCCGTTCGGTTTGAAAACCAATATTCATGTTCATCTTGTCGTTGAATATCATCAGTTTCAGTTCATTTGTTATAAACAGTAATAACACACTTTCGTGCGCCGGTTTTGTTTGCCGTCCCATGACTTCTTGAATATGAGTATGTGGTAGCTGCTGGCCCCCGAGAATTTCCGCTTGTGGCGTAGGGATAGGACTTTGCATTTAGAAACATTAAATTCAATGTCGTTCTCCTTATACCATTGATAAGCTGCGTTGAGTGACTCCTGAAGTTTTAGAGAGCCCTCTGGTTCTGTTACCGTGTTCCAGATTTTGGCGTCATCTGCAAACAGTATTGTTTTTGAGCCTAACACTTTCGGTAGATCAATAACGAAAGCGGGGACTTGAATAAAAAAGTGAAGGGAAGATTTGAATGTTGAGATCAGTATCAGATTGAAAATAGATAAATCATGCAGGCTACATTTTCAGGGATACTACGTAGAGGCCATCAGTTTAATGTGATTTTTATAATGGAATTTCCTCTTGTTCTGGTAAATTACAGGTTCACTGCTCTTCGACCTGCCCATGTTCTTGAAGATCAAGACAGTGACAGTTCGGAAGAGTTGGAACCACGGCGTTGGAGAATCACATCCGTATTTGAACCCATTGACGAAAAAGATGAGCACATGCTCGCAAGCTCATCAGGGTCTTTGATGGACAGTGAAATTCCTGAGCCATCATCAAAGAGGACTGAAGATACGGAGAAAACGGAACAACAACCCGCGTCCATCGAGGAGAGCAATCATTTGGTGACCTCATCTACTCCAGGCGATGATGTTCCATTTGATGAGGCGGAATTCGATTCGTTAGAACAGGCCCCGAAACCGGCTCTTCCCGTTCGGACGGTAAATCAACGCCATTATCGTCGTCCTGTGGTGGCCAATTTTCGCAAATGTGTTACTCGTTCCGCAACATGGGATGGTTGGTTGTTAGGAGATGGAAAAACAGTTGGCGGAAGGCCACATCCAGCTGCGGATGTTTCAATCCAAACAGAAGCGGAGGATGATAGTGCTGAGGACGGATCTGATATCGTCATTGTTCGAACGGTTCTATAACAATCATGGAGGAACTCTCATAAAATCTATTCTTCCGCATTTTTTCTATTCATCAGTTTTCTCTCCTTCTATTATTTGCGTGGCACTAGCTTATACCTTTCGCCTGTCCCTATCGAGCAAATCAAGAAAGAAACCTTTCATAAATTCCGGATTGTAATGTATATTAGCTAGCAGATTTGTGTGTCTGCACCTGCCTGCTCGCGCGAAATTGATGGGTCCATATGATTCCTTTCATCCACACTGAATAAGAAAAGCTGACCCAACAACGCACTCTACCAATCACTCTGATTAAGCAACAACCAATTATCCCACTTCGTCTCTGTGTGATCAATTCCTCCTAGGTTTATTTATTACCAGCGCGCCAACTGAATGCACAAATAGACTTCTCGTAGAGAAGCGGAGGAGGAATAAGTTCTTTCGAAACTGTCTTTTCTCTCATGCCTCGGGTAACCAAACGATCGTGTTTCCCAACCGAATCGCAGAACCCAATCTTTCTCCTTTTCTTTTTACTTTAATTCTCCTGCTCACACAAATCAGAACACGTTGTTAACCTCTTTTTGTTCACATATCATCAGTGCGCCTAGGGTTGATTTCGAGCTTGCGCGTCTTGCACATTATACTTTAGGCAATACACCTGACGTTGAAGATCACAAATTTGTCTAATATTGCTCTTTTGATTGGCCTATCACGGATGACCGTAAACAGGAGCCTAATTTGTCCTTAGGCAAAGATAGAGAGAGAAAATGTTTCGATTTATCAAAAGAAGTTTTTAATCTTTGGCTTTTCAACAATGATGGAAAGTTATAGTGTAGAACAACTGTATTCAGTTAATTGCATTCTGAAAGTCAAGGGTATTTACATTCAGCGACAGCAATATTCTCATGCCCACACCTAGATTTTTGTGATTTCTCCGCTCTCACATGCATGAACACCAACATTCTTGAGAATCAGATTCATCAAATTTTATTAGATATCTTTAAGTTTTACGGAAATGCGTCGAAGAAATTAAATTTTCACTGCGACAAAAGTGTTTTGCCCCGACGAACTTTATACAAACAACACGGTTTTATAGCAGGTGCGATAGATATCCCGAGTTTGCACCTTGACATGGCAACCGTGGTGAGACAATGGTTTGCAGATTTGTGTAAGCTGCGGTCATGCACATCATACTCCCAATGATCTTGAAAGAACAAAGACATCCCCGTGTGTCAACACAGGACATTTTCAATCGTGACGCGATTGAAGAGGCCTAAGGATAACGATAAATCCGAATGCTATGTATTTCGTGAGATCCATGTCAGCACATAAGACAGCTAGACCGTATTATAAGTCTTGATTATATTGTGGCACGATATTTAAGGAGGAAACAGCTAAAAATCGGTTAAACAGATTGGATGCCAGACTAAGTTGGACGCAGATTGCTTCGCGTGGCCTCAAACTCCGTGATTCATACGTCGGAGATGAAAACAATGATTGAGTTGGATGTCTCAGTGAGAACGGTACAAGGAAAACTTGATATGGCCCCTTGGATGAAATACAGGAAATGGAAATCTTATGCAGTTTATTAAATTTACTTCAACGAGTAAAGCCCATAGAGGACGAAATATTTTGGTCACGGGGTGAATATATTTTGCCAATAGACCATACAACTGCATTACTATTGTTGTGCGGTATTACTCATAATTGCCAGTGGTTTGCAAGCATCAAGAAGCGTTTATTGGATTCCCACGGAATCCGCGATTGAATTAAAGGATTTCAGTTCGCAACCACAGACGGGAAAACAGATTTTCCGGCTGGTGATGAAGAGACGACCACAGAAGTACCAACTAATTGTTGCAAATTATTTTTCATTCTATGTTCCTTAATTATCCGAATCTGTTCTCGAAGCAACTCTCCTCGTCTCGGCACCATCTTGTGGAGTTATTATAATTTCTCCATTGTCACTGATACTATTATTGCGGATCTTTGTTTGTATGCCCACAGCAAAAATTGGTTTGTTTTTTGATCTTATGATTTCTTGGAGCCAAGTATCTTGCGCATTGATGCGGAAACAGTTCTTACTTCTGACAGTTCCGAACAAGAACGAAATAGAAGCCAAATACTGTCTGTGGCAAAAGCTTTGGGGATTGCGTTAAGATTTTCAAAGTCATTGCCATCTCTACTCTATTTACTACCTAATCAAATGATGAGCCAGTAGGTTACTTTGTCTAAACATCATTATAAAATGTGACAACTTCAATGAAAAGTTCTTTGTTATCCAGTAAGGTTTGTCTCGCTGTAACATATTTTTTATTAGCTTCACAACAATGTTCTCATCCATTGTTTTTCATGCTTTGCTGGAGAGCGGTTTGAATGAATGGTGATAGGTCGCAGAAATTCTCACTCAACTTGTCTCATACAAGTAATGCGGTCGTCAGCGGTCTTATAATGTGGCAGTCGTTCCGTTTGTCCCGTAGGGTTTCCACTAGGCTCGTCGTAAATTTAATTAAATCAGCCGCGAGCGATCCGCGGTAATTGGTATGTTCGCGTGATCTAATGCAGAAACTTAAGTCGAATTTCTCCTTTCATCTAAGGCTTTTCATTTTCGCCTGTTCGCTGAGTCTGTCCGTAGTTATGCAACGCTCTCTCCACCAACTTGGGTAATATCTTCCGTAAATTTGCCTGTTCATTCTTCAGGGTTGTTCACTGGTGATTCAGCTTGCTCATGCCGGTTTATAATTTAACTAACATAGTAGTGGATATTTTTTCTATCAGTTCCCGAGTCACAACACCATTAGCTTTTCCTGATTCATCTAGTCCACGTGTCGCGTCAGTGCAAGACCGCGATTCATTACATTACGTAAATTCATTAAGTGCTGAAGGAGTACCAAGTTTGGAGAAAATCCCGGTGCGTTTACCACGTCTCTAACGGATGATTTCCACCAGTTCAAAGTCCATTTTTATCCCTGCCATCATTGAGTGTGTGAAATGAATGAAAGCGTTTAATGAATTATTTAGTTCCTCATTAGACAATATGGTTATTAATCAAGTAGTCTTTGTGGTTCAATTCATATACTATTTATAAACTCACCGGCTGCCATCGTATTACGTTTTAAAGCTTTTGTCCGAAACCCAGCAGTCTTGCGGCAAACTGTTTTAACATGACATTTGCAAATGGTTCCGGTCACGTTCCCTGTCACAATTTGTGTCTTCCGCATGATGTACTTTTGTTGCAGTTTCTCACTGGGCATGCGAACCCCAAAAATCAAATTATCCAGTGAACCGTGAGGGTATGTGCAGCCTGAGTTTCTCCCGGATATCCTTTGTAGTTCACTTCTCGGCACGGACTGGAACAGACTTCACCGGTAGGACTAAAGCCGTAGTTATACCATAGGATTAATTTTCAATAAATTACCGCAAAATACCAGCGGACTGGGATACCGCACTAGATCAACTGTCATCATTTCTAAAGGAAGGGTGAAAGTGGGTGGTATAAAATATCCAGCGAAGTCTGAGTTAGGCATACTTGAAGCATTGAGAAAAACAAATAACAAAAGTGAGAATTCCTTTTGTATTATCTTCAGCTCTGCATGACTGTTACTGCACCAATAACAATACAAAATTTTACAAGAAATCAGTTCTCTTTTTTGATCCAACCTGGGTAAAGTTCATAAAATAACCGTTGAAAATGTGCTACTCGTGAGTATAATCACCATGAAAATGAAATTTATCAATTCATATACCAAGCAGCTAGACCAATCAATGACCAACAAGGTGGGCGTTCTTTAATAAAACAACATCTAACCACATTTGAGTTTTCAACGAAGCCTCCAACTATAACGACAGGGTGATTGTTTAGTATTATTTTACTCGGGCATGGTATGACTCCAATGTGGAGCTGATGTTGGTGTACAACCATTCTGGTGAAATGATCTTTCCGATAAAACTCACTCACAAAAATGAACGTTACTGGATATTCATGAGTTTTTCTATCATGGCCCTTAAAATACTGAGCTTACCCAAGACTAAATAGTACTCTAGTCACGAAGAATAAGATATGATCGTTAATTAACCCATCGATCACTTAAACCACTACCTGATTTGAAAAGGTGAAAAACGGGAATAACCGTATAATAGTGATCAGCCTCAATAGTTAAGCACTGTAATAGACGATTCCGTTGTTGAATTCACCGAAAATTCTGTAAAGATGAAATTGATAAACAAATACTGAATTATGTGAAATTTTGATCGATTCGAAGTTCACTCCAAGGCGTCGTTGAAGGCTATGGTTGACTGACGATGAACACAATCTCAGTTTCAGTTTGTACAACCATTAACCATGCACTATCGTGCGCCGGGTTTAGTTGCTTACCTTTGGATTCCCATTAGGTCGTACACATTGTGAATAATTTTATTTTCAAGGCTTTTTAACGACTTTTCATAAATTTGAAAATAATGCCCATATAACTTTAAGTAAAGTCATAATTCCGTATTCAATTTCACTAGTAGGGGAAAGAGCAGCCATTCATAATTCCATCAGCCTCAAAATGGAAGTAGGATAGTTTGTTGGCGATGTTGGAATACGAACAGAATACCTGCGGAATGACACTTAATTGTATGTACCTTTTGATACGTAAATTTATTGTACAGGATCAGACTTGCATTATTGCAACGTACACCCAGCGATAAGACGTTTCCATGTCACCCCGTCCATGTTTTCATAGTATTTTCAATTCTAGTTAAAGCACAAGAACCGTTTGGGGTGTAAATATACAATTCAAGTGAAAAACCAAAACAAAATTATACTTCATTTTAATGAAACTAGCCTGTATAGTGCCCAGTGACCGTTCCTCTTCCTTGAACTGAAAATAGCTCTGATTGTTTCCTGTCTAAGCTATTGGGTTGATGTTCCTTGATGCGTTTAGATATCTACCTTTTCGTAAAAACCACGTAAGTGGCACCACGGGTGAACTTGAATTGGTAGATGAGCATTGGCGCGGTTCGCATAGGCAACTTCCCCT